GACATTGCTATTGACTACTTCAATTCCTGGGGGCCACATACTTATATCAAGCAGCCGCTCTAGGTGCCTTATATTCTGCACTCCAACTTTGAATTTTGAGAGTGAACTGTCCTCACTATTAAGCATAGGAAAGCAACGAATAAAGTCCGAAGTTCCAAGTTTATCCTTGATATAGTGAGCCAGTTGGTTTGCCGTAAAGGGAAATGGGATATTGGACACAACGACATAATGCCAGGCTTTTCTAATGGAGGATTTGTGAGGTGGGGGAGTACTGACTTTAGAAGAAGTGACACCCACTGAGGCTTGGCAATCTGTCTGAGTCAAAGTTGACTTTTTTATTGCTGGTGGGCTACTCCTATTATTTTGCTTGCCTTGGGCAGCAAACTTTTCTATTGTGGTTGCCATCTGATTTACGCTCCTACGCAGCTCACTGACTTCCTTCAAAAGATCTACCTTTGAAGAGTCATGAACCTGGACCCTAACAGACTCATCCTGAAAGTCCATAAAATGGATGATAGGTTGAGTATTTCTTGTTTTATTTCACTGATCGAATGAAACAAAGATTGTTGACCATTTTCGAAATTTTGGAGTGGTGGCAGTGAATATCATCCATTTTTTGTATAAAGACTTCCATTTGGAGTCATGATAACTCAATATGTCATAGATTTCAGTTATGACTGGAAGCAGGTCGTTGTTCCTTTTAAACAGGTTCCCAGACCTTCAACAGTTTCTAGAGGGATCTGTGATTTCTGAAGCTGTGAAACTTTGTCATGGAGATACTTCATCGTGGGAGAATCACAAACATTGCAGAAAAACCTAATATTTTGAACTTTTGCTGGTGGATCACTTTTGTGGTTGTCTTGTCCAGCCCAGTACAGGTCATACAAAAGTTGCGGGGGCACTCCCCACTACAACGAAGTCTATATTTGTCCTTTTCCGAGATGGTTTTTTTGGCACGAATCACACTTAAAATCTGCCATTTGGAAGTGTAAAGGAACAGCAAAATCGGAAAATATTAAATTAAACAAGACAGTATAGTTCAATAATAAAAACAGTGTCAATGTCAACGAAGCTAGGTCCGTTTAAAAAAATATCTATATAAAAATAATTATATAAAATAAAGCAGAAACGCACGTTCAGCGAAAACTAGCGAACTGAACCGGGTCGGGTCAAGACCGAATAACAACACACGACAAATCCAAACAAAACAAAACAAAACAAACGTTCAATACCGGCGGTCCACAAACGAAACGAAAGCACGACCGTCTCGTATGACTGTTCGATCTGAACTGAAGGAAAACAAAATAACTTAGTTTTTCTCTACAAGAATTATACGTATGATTAGGTAAATTACAAATGAAACAAATTATCTTAGAATTAGAGTCCTTAGACTTTTCAGTAGATTTCTGAACGTTATTTTTAAAAGAATTTTTCTTAGAAGTAAGTAGTAATACAATGGTGCTGCTATGACACCTTATGGCTTCAAAAGGATGTTAAAGATGGCGGCCATTTCCATGATGTTAAAGATGGTGGCCATTTCCTGACCTATCCAGATTCGGATTGGATTGGTTTGGTTTGGCCAGTGTTGCCAAATTTATATTTTTTCTATTTTTTTAATATTTTTGTTTTTTTTGCCCCAGGGTATTTTTTCTTTTTTGGGGGGGCCTGTGCCAAAAAAGTCTAAACAATGGGCCTGCGCAATGCAGCCTAACCAATTCCACCAAAAAATATACATAAATAATAATAAAAAAGTAAACATATTATTATAACAATATTATTTGCTCACCCCGTATATCGAATATAATCTTATGCAAGGCGCCCGCCCAGCCCAGCCTTTAAAAGTCACAGTTCATTTAATTTCTGCGTCTCGTATGATAATTAAAAGGGGAGAGGCTACCGTTAAGTTTATTTATTTGCATAAGTAATTGGCTTTGTTAGGCTGGGTCCACACTGTGCGTTTCTGCCGTTTCAACGTATCCGTTTTTATTGTCGCCCGGCAACACATGCATTTAAATGAGAGACGATACACTATTGCAGAACCGGCGCTCTGATATTGTATATGGCAGGTGCGGTGGCAATAAGAACGGATTCGGTCCAACGGCACTACAAAAACGCACATTGTGTCACCAGCCTTATAGTTAATTCTTTAGATTCCATATTTCAAGTGCGTGAGAAACAAACAAATAAACAAACTTAAACTTGTCCTAACCTGTCTTTTCCTTTAGCCGAGAGTACCATTCTAAATAGTTGTATATATTATTTACTATTATGTATAGCATTATATTTAAGCGAATGAAAAAGCTAACGTATAAAAAGTTGATCTTAGTAATATTATTATATCTATGATTCTTTTATTGAATACCACATCTTCAAAAAAAGTATTTTATATTACTAAAGTTATTTTATTAGTACAGAAATGAAAAAAAACAATAAATCGTTAGAACATTAATTTTATTTTCAATACATAATATAAATGTACACTAAAAAAACAACATATATTATGAGAATATTCTATACTGAAGAAAGTTATACATCAAAATAGTTCTTACACCTATTTTTACCAACAAAATATAATATTTTAGTTAAACAAATAAAAGATACTATTGCTAAGAATAAAATTTAGGTATTAGTATAATCAAAAGAATGGCGTAAATTAAATGTTTGTATTGTTGAATCGTTGAAAAGTTGCAATGCATTTGTGGTGGCGGTGGTGGTAGTACAGTTGATCTTCACAGAAATTGGTGTATGAATATTGCGACCAATAGTAATTGTTCTCCATTCGATTTCTTCAAACCATGTATCATTGTAGAATCGCACTTTTAACTTGTAGTGATAGTATTGTTCATTTGAAAATTGGTGAGACGTTTGGAAAACGGGTATTCTATTGTCATGTGTTACACTATATTTTAATTTTATCCATGAACCATTCGTTGAAAATTTTTCTGTTTCAAGTTGAGCATAGACATCTGACGCCTCAGGTGGTTTTTGTACATAGAAAATATTTTGCACCACTGTACAAAAAATTATAAAAGTTGGGTTTAGAGGAAGCATGGCTAGTCAGAACTAACTCTGAAAAACTTATAGAATAGCATTTATACATAGGCTGCATTGTGATCGCGATAGGGGGGGCCATCAAAATGTGTTTGCCAATTTGGTCAATTATAATGAATAAAACAGGGTAATTTGGTTTGCAAGTTGAAATCCTCCTTGTAATGATTTGGTAATTTTGCCCAAATATTTAACAATGTCAAACTGTTGATATGATAACGGAAAAATTCAATGGGAAAGTTTTTGAAATCGTCAGCTGTACAGTTCTCCAAAGATTTTGTGTCCAATAAGAATCTGTTGATATCTGAATTTAAGCCTGACATTTTTTACGTACTCGCGAGCACACACACTGATACAAAAAAAAAACGTAAACACTTTGGAGCGCTTCTGTAATGTTTCTGGTGTAAAACTGAAGAAAAATGTGATTGACTTCACGTATTTATACAATTTCTGATTTGTTAATCCATGACATTTTTTACGTACGCGCGCGCACACATACTGATAAAAAAACTATTGGTTTCAACTATAATTGGTTGCACACGTATTTATACAATTTCTGATTTGTTAATCCATGAGTTGTGATTTTTGTCTAGTCCCAACCATTTTACGTAGACTTTGTTTCCCTTCCTTCGCAAGATTTTTTCCACTAAATACACATCAGGATGTTGTACTTTTTGCAATTCTTCTCTATAGAATCCACCTTGAATAATGTTTTTATTTTCATCTTCAATAATGTATGTTATGGGATTTGTTAATTTCACTTTTTTAATTTGAAATATTTCATTGGACCAATTAGGCGTATAACCCTTTGTAAATAATTCCCTCTGTTTACTGATTCTAACAAAATCTCCAACTTTGAATTTCGAACTATTAATATCCACCATTTTTATGTGAGAATATACGGTATTTAATAAGTTCTTTTCATGTTTTTTATTAATATCTATAGGTTTCATACCGGTTGTACTATGTTTTGTATTATTATACTTTAAAGCTACATCTTTAAGTATACCGGTCCATTTATAATTTCCATTTAAACTAAATAATTTCCACATTATATTTTTTAAAGTTCTATTAACTCGCTCTACAATACTAGCCTTCAGATTGGAATAAGTATTATAATGATTTATTTTGTATTGTGTCATCAGTTCTCTAAAATCCTTATTGAAAAATTCCTTTCCCATATCGGTTTGTAGATTTTTCGGTATATTCGGTGCGGCTTCTTCAATAATATTTTTCATAGCTGTAGTAACATCTCGTCCACTTTTCGATTTGACCGGCTGCACCCAAACATACTTAGAAAAAACATTTATTACCACCAGGATATATCGATAGCCTCTGTTCAATTTAGCATACGGTATCATTTCTACAAGGTCAGCCTGCCATAAATCATTCAACGCTTTCACTACTACGCGGCGCCTATTGTATTTCTTCCTAGCAGGTTTATGTAATTCGTTTACGACTTGTTCTTTAATTGTACCGTTCATAATAAATAATCGATTAAGTGTTTGTCTCCTCCTCCTTGACAATAATTATCGGACATTGCATTATTAATTCACCATAAAATTCTTTTATTGCACCACCACTCGTTGTATTCTGATGAAAACTAACAGAGTCTCCTTTTTTTAAAATGACATTATCGAGACGATTCACCCTCCTATCATTAATTTTTAAATAAAAATTTTGTAGGAAGTCAGTTTTTATGATGCGTGAATCATTCAAGGGAAAAATATATTTCTTCTTTTTATCTTGTCCTAATTCAACCAATTCTTCTAGCTTGTTATAAACACCAACAAAAGGTAAAATTAAATTGTAATATAATTTGATATTGTTTAAACTAACAAACTGAATGTTCTCTTCTGTTTGTTGTCGTTGTGATTGAGCTTTGCTGGTTGGTAAATTTTTATTTAAAATGTGTGATCCAAACTTGTCGATAGTCATCGTTGTAAAGTTTGTCACATACTAAAGAATAAAAAACGTGAGTAAAAGTATTTATTCAATAATATTAGCCTCCCGCAACTCCTCAAGAATTGAAATTATTTCGTTATTATGACCTGAATGACCAGCCATTTGTGACGAAATTAATAGTTTTAACCGTTCAACTAATTCATTAATATCATCGTAATAGACGTAATCCGTTTTTTTCTTTGAGAAGTTTAACATATATGGTATGTCCTTCTTCAATCGTCCCGCTCCTACTTTTTTTCTAACACTACTTTGCTGTCTGGTTTTTGGTCTTTGAAGGGCCGGTGGCAAAGGTTTATTAAATCTAGATGTCATAGAGGGTTCACTGGCTGTTCGTTCTTTGATAATTCCCTTTTTTACTAGATACGGTTTTATTATTGTCAGATACTTTGAATCGCTAGTTCCTTGTATCTGATTGTTTGCATCATGATTTCTCCTATAGGCGTTTGTCCGATTTAATATGTCCATATAATTTTCCAGATCTTGACTTTTGTATTCAAGTGGTTCTTTAAAAAATAGCAATTCATAGAGACCCGGCGTTCCCTCATACCTAATATTGTTTACCTTGATATCGGGGCCAACAAAATCCACTACACTGTTACCAATTTTCCATTTTTCTGTGTCAATGTCATGCACTAATCCGTGAGTATGATCCAGTTCTCGTTCGCTCTTTATGGACATATCTACGAAACTTCTAACTAGCGGATCAAAAGATGCAAGATACTGTTCATAGCTTTCACTTTTTGTAAGTTCGAGAATATTTTGCTGTATGTCAGCAAGGGAAGGTTCTTGAAAAGTTTCATCATGAGGATCGCTCTGCGTGGGAGCATTATTATAATTTGTAAAAAATACATCTTCATCGTAATCATAACCAGAAAGATTAGATATCTGCTGTTGAGGGGGAAGGTACTTTCTATAAATATTTGTGTCTCGTGGCCGATTTTTAGATATTAAAAATGATTGATCGTAGTCATTATTTTTTCCAGCTCCTTTCTCCTCATCTTCCTCCCCCTTCTCTTTCTTTATACCTGTAGCACTAGCTTCCGATTTAATGTTCTTGATTAATTCTCGAAGTGGTTCCGTTATAGGTTTAAATTCTTCATATCGACGACTCTCCGATTTCACACTTTCTGACTTCAATTGCCTATATTTGCGTTTTACTGCTTTTCTAGCCTTAACTAGTTCCTTAGCCGTTTTTTCATTCATAATATTATTGTTGTTTATTAAAAGACTTAGCGATACATACTAACAATATTTTATATCAGTTACTTACATATATATGTTAAAAATAGATAAATCTGTCAAAACCCTGTCTGTATCGACCATTATTTATTGGACAGTCTTTGTCAATAACTACAAAATCATATTTATTTTTCCAGCACAAACCACATAATTCTTTAAATTGTAAGAACGACATATCGGTGTTGACATGATCATCGTAAATGTGTTTCAAATTTGTACTGTCTTGCTTGAATATGATCAGTAAATTGGCATTATCTCTTACAAGTTGTTTAGGTATTGATGTGTACGTTTGACAAGAATAGAGACAATCAATGTTATTGTGTCTTCCAAAGGAGAAATATTCTCGAAGTATATTTTGATGTTCACATATGATATCGTCAAAAATAACAATTGAGTTATTTTTTATGTCATTTGGAAATAAGATACTTTCATTGTCCGATCCCTCAAAATAGCCAATTTCTTTAAGTGACTTCAGTACCTTTCTCAAAAAATCATATTTATCTTGATATAGCGTTTTTGAATAAATATACACGTTTTCAAACCTTAAACCATTAATATCGGTTAATAGCGATATCATAACATTTGTTTTTCCACAACCTGACGGACCAATTATCAATCCTCTTTTACAAGTTCCGCCAAAAAGTGGCCCATGTTTTTTAAATTTATTTTCAATTATATCATAATTTTTGACTGTTAAAATATGTGATTGTTTTTTAACTCGCATATTGCACGTGATGCACATTCGATGTGTGATCGAAAAAACGCCTATATAAGCACTGAGTGCTAAGTTACCTTTCAAACTATTATATACAGTAGAGTAGTAGTAATATATAATGAGATATAATGATAAATCACAATTTATCGATAAACATTCCGCACGGAACGGTCAAACGAGAAGGACGTGGCATATTGAACACATTAATTAATAAATTGCCTATTGAATTACATATTCCAACTTATAATTATTGTGGGCCAGGAACAAAACTCAATAAACGACTTATACGTGGTGATAGAGGTAAAAATCCCCTAGACGAGGCCTGTAAGCAGCACGATATTGCCTATTCTTTGTCTTCGGATTTGAGGGCGAGACATCAGGCCGACAGGATATTAGCTAACAAGGCAATAGATCGATTTAAGTCATCAGACGCTTCTTTGGGCGAAAAAGCCGCTGCTCTTGGAGTGGCGGGAATAATGAAGGCAAAGTCAAAATTAGGAATGGGTATTATTCCAAAAAAGAGACCTGGAAAAAAACCCAGCAGCAACAACAACAACAAGAAATTGGGAAGAGGAATATCTTTTGCAGCAGCTGTGAGAAGAGGTCGTAAAGGTATAGCCGGTAAAAAATATAAAAGTATTAACAATGCAATTAATGATGCCCTAGTGTCGATTAAAAAGGGCAATGTAGCTGTACACAAACCACGCTCCCGAATTATACCTGTACCGAAAAAAACCGGTGGAATATTACCTCTGATTCCATTGTTTGCTGGTTTGTCAGCTCTAGGAGCTCTAGGCAGTTCCGCTGCAACTATAGCTAATGCTATTAATGTGGCAAACAGTGCAAAAAATAAGTTAGCCGAACAACAGAGACACAACAGAGCGATGGAAACAATACCAATTGGAAAGGGTCTTTTTCTAGGTCCGTATAAAAAAGGGTGTGGTTTATATTTAAAACCATATTCAAAAAACCATTAGAGATGCTACCACGCAACAAACCTCTCTCCAATTTAGATTTGTATAAGTTTGTGAAATTGTTGAAAATACCAAATTTTCGAGGCATTTTTATGCGTGATAATTTACCAAAAAAAATTAAACAATATGAGTCGGGGATTATTAATTTAGATCGTTCTGTTGGAGAGGGTACACATTGGACGGCCTACATAAAGCAGAATAAGAACATAGTTTATTTCGACAGTTTCGGAAATTTACCACCACCAATGGAACTTATAACATATTTTTTTAGCGATGGTAGCAAAAATAAAATTGTTTATAATCATGATAGGTATCAATCGTTTGATTCATTTAACTGTGGCCATCTTTGTTTGAAATTTCTGTATAATAATAAGTAACAAGTATTTTAAGATTATTGTCACAAATATTTCATAGAGTGAACAACAACAATAAGAATATAATGTCTTTTACAATTGCACTATCTGCACAGTCTGCAACACTAAAATCCGATTTTCATCCACCAATATACCTGGATCCAAATGCAGACTATGTTATTGGTCTCACAAATTTTGAAACATTCAACGCTATTCCAAATATTGACGAGACAAATAATAAGATTTTCTACGGCAGTAGTGGTAAAGATTATATAACAATACCACCGGGCAGTTATGAAATTCAAGATTTAAATAGGTACCTTGAAGGGGAATTTAACGAAAAGTCCATTACATTCAAAGTATTTCCCAATAACAACACTTTAAAATCGGTCATTCGTTCGACCACAGATATAACATTTAAAGATGGGACAATTGGAAAAATTCTAGGCTTTAACAATGGAACTGTAAAGGGAGACGGTTTTGATCATATGTCAGACAATCCTGCCGAGATTATAAAAGTCAACTCTTTGTGTATCGATTGCAGTATTGCTGAAGGTTCCTACCTTAACGGAAAACCTGTACACATAATACATCAGTTTTTTCCCAACGTACCTCCTGGATACAAGATAATCGAGTCACCACAAAATATTCTATATTTCCCAGTGACAGTTAAAGTTATTGATAAAATTACAATAAAAATTATTGACCAAGACGGACAACTTGTCAATTTTCGCAACGAAACCGTTACATTACGATTGCATATTAAAAAATATAATGGCAATTTTTTATAATAAAATAAGAGCGATACATTCGCCAACATTCGAAACAGTAAAGACGGCGACGACGACGACGACGACGGCGACGACGACGAAAAAAAAGGACCGTCCTTATAAGAACGTCACTCGGCGGAAAAAAATACTCAGTTCAAAAGTTGGCACCCAACGGTTAACAAGTGCTAACAAGAATTTTTTAAAAGCGCTGGGTTTTAAAGTGAAACAAATATAAAAAGAAAATGGACGTGCTCAATGTAAATGAAAAAATCTTTATCGATAATTCCATAGTTCATACTGAGTTCCATTCTTACGAACCATATTTGCCTACGAAATTGGGCAACAACGATGAAATTATAATTCCAATCCATGAAATCGATAAATATACTCTTCCATGTGATAGTTATCTGTACATTGAAGGAAAACTAACAAAATCCGACGGAACAATTTCAACAACAGCTCATTTAATAAACAATGGAATAGCTTTCCTCTTTAGAGAGTTAAGATATCAATTAAATGGAGTAACAATAGATTTTGTGAGAGACGTGGGTCTAACCTCAACCCTAAAAGCCTATCTATCCTACAATACAAACGAGTGTACAAGATTAAAAAATGCTGGTTGGAATCCACTTGAAAGTAATAATAAATCATTAGTGAATATTAAGCATGGATCATTTAACGTTTGTATTCCTTTAAAGTTCCTCATGGGATTTTTTGAGGATTATAAAAAAATTATCTTGAATTGCAAACAAGAGCTGATATTAATTAGAGACAATTCTGATACTAATGCCATTATAACAACCGATAAAAATGAAACAGTAAAAATAATTTTAGACAAGTTAACGTGGAATATGCCTCACGTATCTGTAGGAATTCCTCAAGAATTGTCACTTACAAAACTAATTGATCGCAATACTGATATTGTTATGGCATTTAGAAGTTGGGAGTTAGTAGAATATCCAGAACTTTTGAAAACAAACCGACATAATTGGTCCGTTAAAACATCTACAAAAGTTGAAACACCCAGACACATAATTCTAGCATTTCAAATTTCGAAAAGAGATGAAAAAACGGAAGATATGAGCCAGTTTAACGATATTGGGCTGAGAAATGTAAAAGTTTTCCTAAATGCCGAACGCTACCCATATAACGATCTAAATTTAGATATGGAGAATGATAAATTTGCCGTCTTGTATGACATGTATTCGCAATTTCAGTCAGCCTATTACGGTACAAAACCCGAACCGGTTTTTGATCCGGCAAATTTTCATAAACTCGCTCCCATTGTCTATATTAACTGTTTATATCAAAAGGACTTTTTACAAGCGGGCGCCCCAGTTGTCATGAGAGTGGAATTTGATTTGAAAAAGGACCTAGACAAGAATACATCAGCGTACTGTCTCATCTTACACGATAAAATTTTCAGCTATAATCCCCTAACAAAAATCGTAAAACAATTATAAAACCTGTTTAAAAACGAAAATCAAATTCATTCTAGTATAGGTTTTCTCTCAGAGTGTATGTGCACGCGACGTAATTGTCGGTGAAAAAGAGAGCGAGATGAAAGTTTTCTTAGATGTACAGGGCTTCAAAATTGAAAATGAGAAATTTGTGCCCAAAGAATTGGCAGCCTACAATGGACAAGAACAAATATGTCATTATATTTTTAAAAGTCCCTTTCCCATGCATAATTTATCACCTCATTATGCACGGCAAGCGATTTGGTTAACTAATAATTACCATTGTATAAAGTGGAATGAGGGTTTTACATCGTTGCATGAGTTTCATACCATCATCAGAAATCTGACAGAAAAAGCCGAATGTGTCTACGTTAAAGGAAAGGAAAAGGCCGATTTTATTAGAAAATATTGCACAAGACCGGTACTAGAGCTGGACGAAAATCGATCTGGCGCTACTATAAAGAAAACATCACCTTCCTGTTTTTACCATACAAAATCACCCTGTATTTGTGCTTTATCAAATGTATTTAATTTATATAATTGTTTTAATATCTAATTATATTCTTATTGTATGTAATAAAGACACTATTTTAAAAATAAATAGGTAGTTTTATTTTAAAAAAGGCAACGTTTAATGAAAACAAGTTTCGACTTGTTTAGAATAGAAAATCTACGACTGTATAGATTGTACACCAACCACAAGAAAAAATTTTATAGAAATTTTTTTTATAGAAAAAAAATTTATATAACATTATAAGTGCAATAAAAATCAATAAGGTTACTCTGACATTTACAAAGATTCAAACAAAGAAATATACTTGAATAGGAAAAAAAAATCAGGGAAAGGGATATAATTAGCATAAAGATCTAAACTATATAACGCTACAACTTATAAACGTAAAACTATTCATTTTACAGATTGTCTTCACTGCAGGTGATCAATTAGTATTTTTCTAATTCTATATTATTTTTTATTTTTGCAATATGACTACCATTCCGTGTACTTTATTAATACAAAGTAAAGATAAACTTAATTTTCCTACTAAAATGCTTTTTGTTGTAACAAAACAATTATTTAGGTAAGTTATCTTAAAATATTATTAAATAAATAATACATTTTATATACATTATTTAGCTATGGAATCAAGGACATTTCCATTAAAAAAAATATGGTTTTCGTTGCCCTTACATACACCCCAAAAAATACGACACTGCAAAAAAAATTTGGGAATCTTCCAGTTAGATACGCACGATTGAAAATCGACAATGAAATTGAATTAAGCATGTTAGAGAAAGCCTGGCACGCCTATAAATTTAATTTAACTGATGAGGAAGAGGGGGAACCCTCCAACGCAGTAATGGCAAATGAAAAAAGTAAGTTATAAAAAAAATGAAATTTTATAAAATATCTTTGATAACACTTTCTAGATATTATATCTATGCTGCCGTCACCGTTATCACCACCACCACCACCACCACCACCACCACAAGCATCAACGTCCCGCCAAGAAATTTCCGAATCTCAAATGACTTATATCGGCGACAAAAACAATAGTGAGGATCATCACTCATCAAATTCAAAAAAACGGAAACATGATGGAGGAGATATAAAGAAAAATAAGAAAATGGCACAATTTGTAGACCCTATTTTTATTATTGAAGGGGAAGATGGCAGCTACGAAGGCGGCGGCTTCGGCAACAGTCAAGAATCGCAAAGATTTTTTTAAAATAACTGTTTTGTCTCTCTTTGAAGGCAATGTATAATAAAACTGAATTAAATATACCGATTTAAAATTATAATTGCATTTTATTTCAATATGAGCAAGGGCGTGAGAAACAGGATATACCTATCGGAAAATATCCCCTCTTAGACACAGAATAAAAGTATTTATATGAAAATCTAGGTAAGTAATGTTCAGTTTTAATCAACTTTTAATTTAAAACGTTACAATCAAAATAATGTCTCAGAACAACAACAACTGCAGCAGCAGCAGCAAACAGTCTTTTGAACACTTAAGTGAAGAGATTGTTAAAAGAATAGATCAAGTGGGTAAGTTAATTAAAATAAAAGAAGATTTTTTGAAATGGATAAAATATTTTAAAAATATAATTTCATTAACTAGAAAATATTTAAAATGTGAAAAAATCAACATTAAAAGCTACAATAAAGTAGAATCTAATTTATCTATTCTAAAATGTTTTTATGAAGTCCTCAAGTCAAAGTATAACATTAAATTTCGAAATTGCTCTAAATCTAAAAAGCAGATGTTGTGTTGGAAAGATGTTGAATCTTGTTTTAATAATCGTATAAAAACAGGAACTATTGTCAATTATAAAGTAAAAGATCCTAAAATATTTTTTAAAAAGGCCTTCCGAAGCTTCTCCATTAAAATAAAAAAAGAATTAATTGATTGTATTCTAAAAGTAAATGTTATATTTTATGCGAATTTTATTAAAATACAGAATGGTGAAACTGATATTAAACACTTTTCAACAAAAAATTCTGTCATTGATCAACAAACTAAATTAAAAGATTGGTACAAGGAATACGTTGAAAATAAAATTTTATCTAAATTGGAAGAGTTTCAGGAACGAGATTCAGGGTGGGCGCTTTATGAAATAATACAATTGAAGGTAAACATTAATAATTTCTGTCCTATCAATGTGGGTATTTCAACCTATGTTGAAATGCCTAGTTTTATAAAAAATACGAAAAGCGTTTTAAACATTCACAATAATGATCAGTATTGTTTCTTATACGCAATATTAGCCTATTTATATCCAGCACCTTTGAATAAACATCCTCAACGTGTCTCATCTTACCCTCATCCAAGTCAAATTTTAAAATATGAGGGAATATACTTTCCAATTAGTTTAAAAGATATTTGTAAATTTGAAAAAATGAATAATTTATCAATTAATGTTTTCACAATTGAAAAAAAAGATGTTGTACCAATAGCCCTAAGCAAATATAATTTTTCTACATGCATCAATTTACTAATGCTTTCAAAATATCAACTAAATGATGATGTGGTAAAAGAGACCGATTTAATGGACGGAGATAATAGTGAAATAGTAAAAAATATTCAACTAAATCAATGTTATCATTTTGTTTTAATTACTAATTTATCTAGATTGCTAAATAGACAAGTTGGTTATAAAAGCCATAAAAAATGGTTTTGTAATCGATGTTTAAATAGTTTTTCTTCAGAAATGTATTTAAAACGACATATGGTCGATTGTAGAAATATTAATAAAACAAAAATTTCTGTACCTTCTGAGGCGAATAGCATTTTAAAATTTAAAAATTTTAAAAATAAAGAAAAAGTTCCATTTGCTATTTATGGAGATTTAGAATGCATATTGGAGAAAAATACAGATTTAAATAGTTCTAGTAAAAGTATTAAGTATCAAAAGCACATCCCATTTACTATTGCTTATTATTTAAAATGTTCTTATGACGATTCGCTATCTAAATTTGAATTGTACACTGGCAAAGACTGTATTTCATGGTTTATTAAACAACTACATGAAATTGCTTTAAAAGTTAACAACATATTATCAAATCCCGTTCCAATGAAAAAACTTACCGAGGAACAAAAATACAGTTTTAATAACGAGAAAACCTGTTATATATGTTTAGCAGAATTTTTACCGACCGATAGAAAAGTTAAAGATCATTGTCATTTGACTGGCAACTATCGTGGATGTTGTCATTCCACTTGTAACCTAAACTATACAGATCAGCATGTAATTCCCGTAGTATTCCACTTTCTATCTGGGTATGATAGCCATTTTTTAATTAGAGCCCTTAGTACTGAAATTCCTGGATCAATTTCACTTCTTCCTGTAAATAAGGAAAAATATATTTCATTTACTAAGTATATTGATAACACAAAAATTTCCTTTCGTTTTCTAGATTCATTTCGTTTTATGGCTAGCAGTTTAGATAAGTTAGCATCTTATTTAAACAAAAATCAAAAAAATATAATTAAAAAACATTGTAAGAGTGAAACTGAATTTGAATTACTACAAAGAAAGGGAATATTTCCATACGAATATCTAGATTGTTGGGAAAAATTAAGTGAAACGAAATTACCACCAAAAGAGGCATTTTACAGTACTCTAACAAATTGTCATATTAGCGAAAGTGAATATGATCATGCTAAAAATGTTTGGTATGAATTTCAGATACAAAATTTACAGCAATATGCCGAACTGTATCTTAAAACCGATGTATTGCTTTTATGTGACATTTTTGAAAATTTTAGAGAGTCCTGTATGCATACATATCAATTAGATAGCTTACATTATTTTTCTTCACCGGGCCTAGCTTTTGACTCGATGCTGAAAATTTCAAAAATTGAGCTACAATTATTAGTAGACATTGATATGATTTTGTTTTTTGAAAGAGGTATCCGTGGTGGACTATCACAATGCTCCAATCGTTATGGGAAAGCAAATAATATTTACATGGGTAAAGAGGGGTATAATGAAAATGAACCTTCATCATATTTAATGTATTTCGATGTAAATAATTTATATGGAACTAGTATGAGTTTACCATTACCAAGCAGTAATTTTAAATGGGTTGAGGACATATACTCAATTGATATACTTAATGTTCCTGATGATAACGAAATTGGCTACGTGATAGAAGTTGATATTAGCTATCCTAAAAATTTACATGATAAACATAAAGATTTACCACTCTGTCCCGAACATTTAGTACCACCAACTTCACAATTAAAAATACCAAAATTACTTGCTACGCTTTTAGATAAAAAAAGGTATATTATTCATTATAGAAATTTAAAACAAGCTTTCAGTTTGGGTTTAAAAATTGAAAAAATTCATAGAATTCTAGAATTTAAACAATCTTGTTGGATGAAAAAATACATAGACCTAAATACTGAGCTTAGGAAACAAAGTAAAAACGATTTTGAAAAAAATTTTTATAAACTCATGAACAATGCGGTTTTTGGTAAAACAATGGAGAATGTTAGAAAATACAAAGATATTAAGTTGGTTACTAGGTGGGCGGGACGGTATGGGGCACGTGATTACATATCTAGACCAAATTTTAACAGTTGTACAATTTTCGATAACGATATGGTTATTATTGAAATGGACAGATTAAATGTATTATTTAATAAGCCTATATATGTCGGTTTCACTGTTCTAGATTTATCAAAGACATTTCTTTACGAATTTCATTATAATTATATGCAAAAAAAAAATTTTCAAAGCCTCAAATTATTGTATACTGACACAGATTCTCTAATTTACCACATTTTTGATGACGATATATACACACATATAAAGAATGATATTCATAAATTTGATACATCAAATTATGATCCCGATAACGTTTACAATATTCCTTTAAGAAATAATAAAGTTTTAGGATTAATGAAAGATGAAAACAATGGTAAAATAATGCATGAATTTATTGGTCTGAGATCGAAAATGTATACTTTTAAACTTTACATGAACAATTCGCAACAAAAATCTTTAAACAAAATGGAAAGTATGGAAAATAATAAGGAGAGTGATTTAAATATTACTAAAAAAGTAAAAGGAATAAAAAGTTCAGCTCTAAAGAAAATTACTTTTGATGATTACTTTCAATGTTTATTTAATAAGACTATTTTGGAAACAAGTCAAAATTTAATAAAATCTGAGAAACATCATGTCTATAGTGTTACACAGAAAAAAATTGCCTTGAGTCCTTGTGACGATAAAAGAATGATTAATTATATTTATACCGACACATTACCATGGGGATATCATAAAACTGAAACAATAAATTAATAATAATTATATATAATCTTCAATAATTTTAATTACCTTAAACCCCCCCACTATGATTCATTTAACTAATACTATAAATGTAAGTCTATATTATTAAATTTTTATTTAAACATTTTCATAACAAAAATTTTTTTTTTTTTTTATTTTTGATAGATGAAGCCAGTAACAGCCCTTCCTCATCCTCAAGTACCTCAATGCCTCGACCAATTATATTTGGGGAATATGGACTTTGTCCATACAACCAAAGTCACCAGGTGTTGAAGTCGCGCCTTTTAATCACATGTTAAAATGCAAAAAGAGAAAAGAAAATTACAATAGCGACTTCAACGAGGCATTGAAGGCCAATCAAATAGAACCGGGATTTGAATACGATCCACCGCCGCCGTTCCTTTCAAAAAATGAAAGAAAAAATTGGCGTAGGTACAACGCTGGTCAATATAAACCAAGAAATTAGGTATTACTAAATATGAAAATAATTATTTTTAAAAATAACTAATAATATTTTTTCTTTCAGATCGGTGTTTCCCTTCCTCTTCCAGTACCTCAATGCCTCGACCAATTATATTTGGGGAATATGCACTTTGTCCATACAACCAAAGTCACCAGGTGTTGAAGTCGCGCATTTTTAATCATATGTTAAAATGCAAAAAGAGAAAAGAAAATTATAATAGCAAATTCAACGAGGCATTGAAGACCAATCAATTAGAGCCGGGATTTGAATACGATCCACCGCCGCCGTTCCTTTCAAGAAATGAAAGAAAACATTGGCGTAGGTACAACGCTGGTCAATATAAACCAAGAAATTAGGTTTTAAAATATTAATAATTATAAAAACATATGTTCAATAAATGTGTATTACAAAAATATGTTGTTTTCTTATAAATACAATCTTGAATAACCTGAACAGAAAATTATTATTCTCTTACACGCCATTGCATACTAATTGAGCATTATCCTTGACATTCAGCAAGGTAACAGAGCTTTACCGTTATCCCATAAAAAGTGAAATTACATATATCCATCAAAGACAAGTTAAGACTCGCTTTTAACCTTGTTATTCGCTTTATTAATATTAATTTTCTTTTCTTTTATTAGCTTTGTAAAAATTTGTCACCAAATATACTACTGTTGATGAAGGAAAAATAATAAAAAAGTTCCTTAAAAATATTTAAGTTAAAATAAATAATAAACACTTTTAAATAAAAGTCCAAATAAAAAATTTTACACTAAAAACTATGTAAGAGAATATTACTTAAAGCATGCTATAGATATTGTTTTAGGTAGAAAAATAACTAATTTTAAATAATGGACCAAATTTAAATTTTACACTCCAAAAAAATATGAAAAAAATATTTATATCAGACTATAGATATTGTTTGGGTAGATTTTTTTTTTAAAAAAAGAAATAAAACATTGAATTATTTTCGTTGAATGTTTATTTTTCATATAATTTGAAAATATTACATACATTAAAAACATTTTTTTTATGATGATCCAAAACCCTTTGTGCCTCGAACAGTTTCTATTGACATATCGGTACATTCAATCAGCGAGGGATACTCAATTTTATGGCAAATCATCTGTGCTATTCGGTCCCCCCGTTTAATTTCAAACTTTTTATTACTAATATTAAATAATAAAATTTTAACTTCGCCCCGATAGTCTTCATCAATAACACCAGCTGGAATGAAGAGAAAACAAAAAAAAAATTAATAATGAATATTTTATTAGTGGCAAAATTTACCTCCACAAAGAATGGAATAGTCCAAAGCCAAACTTGACCGAGCTTCAATCTTCAAAAAAGATCCTCCAGGAATTTCCACTTGCAGTCCCGTATTTATCAATAATTTTGATTGTGGGGCGATTGTACAATCGAGAGGACTGAATAAATCCAATCCCGCTGATAATGGGGTTGCTCTGACCGGAACGAACGCATCCGATGACACCTTTTTAAACTTTAAAACAGACATCGCATTAAATCTAACGACTACGATGATGACGACGACGACAACGACGACGACGACGACTACGACAACGATGACGACCTATTATCACGATTAATACAAGTAAGTAACTAAAAGATCGTACTTACTACCTGTCGCTCGCTAAGAAAGGCAACATATTGCCACACCTTGAAGTGGTTGGCTGGGCGGGCGCGTTGCGTAAGATCATGCATTCGCCAATTACTTATGCAAACGGTAGTAACGGTAGCCGTTCCCTTTTTAATTATCATTCGAGACGCAGAAATTGAATGAACTGTGACTTTTAACGGCTGGGCTGGGCCTTGCGTAAGATTATATTCGATATACGGGGTGCGCAAATAATATTGTTATAATAATATGTTTACTTTTTTATTATTCTTTATGTATATTTTTTGGTGGAATTGGGCGCAGGCCCATTGTTTAGACTTTTTTTTGGAACAGGCCTTCCCCCCCAAAAAAATACCCTGGGGGCAAAACACAAAAATATTAAAAAAATTATTTTTTGGTGGAATTGGTTAGGCTGCATTGCGCAGGCCCATTGTTTACACTTTTTTTTGGCACAGGCCTCCCCCAAAAAAAATACCCTGGGGCAAAACAAAAATATTAAAAAATAGAAAAAATATAAATTTGGCAACACTGGCCCAAACCAAACCAAACCAATCTGAATCGGGATGGGTCAGGAAATGGCCACCATCTTTAACATCTTGGAAATGGCCGCCATCTTTAACATCTTTTTTGAATCCATAAGGTGTCATAGGAGCACCGCTGTCAAAGTGTCATAGCAGCACCATTGTATTACTACTAGAATGCATATTTATTTAAAGTCAACAATTTAAAAAACGTGTATCTAAATTATGTTCTAGCACCAGTCGAATAATTTTTTACGTCACGTGTAAAATTTTTTTGAATACATCTCTGGGCTGACTGGCGCTTACGCGGCTACTGGTTTAGGCGAGAGAGCTCGCCGCTCTAGTATTCCCCCTCTTTCGAATCGCAAATCCGAGCGTAAAAAGATCAAAGCGGCACGCTACACTGTCCGAGCTGGTTTTTACTTAAGCTGTGGCGAAAGCGTTAAGTAGGAGGTCCCGCGAAAATATACACGGTGTTCTCGGGAGATCTCGGCATTCCTTAGTTCGTCTTCTCAACTGCTTTTGAGTTGACGACTATTTTCGGTATTTAAATTAATTATGAATAATAATTAAAATATAGATATATAATTAATACAGTGGATAAACGATTTTAGTTAATGTACCGAAAAATCTGTTAAGAGAACTGCAGAAAAAAAGATTCTTTAATGGTCACTTTCCGGGCCGTTTAAGAAAGAAAAACACGTCTATTAAAAGCTATATACGAGGTTTTCATTCAGTTTGATGGAAAGTCTTTAAATTCAAATCTATGACTGCCAACCTAATATAAACATTGATTAGCTTCTGTAAGTATCTACCTTTATTTTAATAATTGAGAAGCGATCAAACAAAACGAATCCATTTTGAGATATTAGCAAAAAACATGTCGTTATTGATATAAACGTGTCGTTATTGCGTCTTTTAAACAAAGAAAATTATAATGTACATGAAAGATATTATAATACAGACTTTCTAGACACTGTTCTCGCTTTTCTGTCATCATTAACATAAGAATTATTACTCTAATTACAAAATTATTGATTAGTCTCTTTTATCCTCAGTTAAAAATAAAGATTTATTTTTTATAATGTAAAATAGCAAACATTTTACCTTTTTATGGAGCATTATGTTTTTTTTTTAATTTTAATACACCTCACCTACATAAACAACATAAAGGCAACATAAAGTCGAAAATACAGTTTGTTTCGATCCTTGGCAGTTACGTCATCTTTTCCGACGTTATATTAATTTTCATAATTTTTTTCATTACAAACACGAACAATAGAATGATAATGTGTGACGTAACAGCCAAGGATCAAAAAACAAAGCGTAGATGAGTATGCCCACTCTTCTATAAAATATCAAAAAACAAAAATAAACACAGGTGGATTTATCTTTTCGTGTTTGAAAATATATGCAATTTATTTGATTTTGTGGATTTCACTGTTTATTTTTTAATTTCTCGACTTTCAGGTCGGTTTTAAATTGATTTAAGAAAAAATTTTTGCCCAAATTTTCCCAAAAGTGTTATTAAATTTATCTCGTTGAGCGCCTGATTGTTTTTATTTTTACAAAATTATTCTTCAGAATATATTTATTTATGTACTGCAAAATTTTATTGGTGTATTTTTGCGCAATGTCTCGAAGGCAATGGCAAACCACCTTGAGTATATTTGCCTTGTACAGCCTCTCAAATATGCCGTTCGGATTCGGCAATAAACTGTAGGTCCCGTGTACTTGTGAAACACTGATGACACACATCACAAGTACATGCGAGAGGTAGCCGACGCTCTATATAGAGTATGGCACTGTAAGAAGAAGAAGAACGACAGGAAAAATAAAATTGACTGATTTTTAAAAAAATCTTTTTTTTTCAAGAAACTAAGCAATCCTTGAAATTTTTAAAACTTTTTTGATGGCATCTTGGTGAACATCCCAAGGCGCAACATTTCACCAATTTAACCATCTTCGTAACTATTACGGTTTCTGAGACACCATTGCTCGTACCCCGAATTTGTAGCACCCTGTATAGTGAAATAAAAAGAGAACCATAAAGTTTTAAGATTTAACTTTTATGAGAAGTGAACATGTCTAATAAATAAAATTAAGTTACATTTAACATGTCTCTACTACACATCCTTTATCACGCAGAATATTTTCTAGAATATGCTCGTCTATCTTTACATTTATTGGCTGCATTGCACCAACGCAAAGGCCATGAAAAAGCGGACCACTTTTATGTTTAAAATTACTAACTGACCTATTTTGAGTGTGTGTATGTGTCTCAGTGTGTGAATTTCCTCGGAGACTAATTTTATTTAAGCGCTTTATTACAGCAGTGCTCTTTTTCAACTTAATTGCTTTATTCTAGAATTAAATAAATAACTTACAATTAGTTGCTTTATCTTTTTGAAACTCTGTTTTATTGCTTAATTGTTTCATTTTGTAGGAAAGAAGCTGATAAAATGTGCCAAGAAAAACCACGTATTTCTTTAAATAAAACAAATATATTTAATATTTGCTATGTATTTTTTATTTTGTATTATTATTACATTATATTATTGGCAAATGTGAGGCACTAAAATTCTAGTAAAGTTTAGTTTAATTATAAGGCATATCGTAAATAGAATGTAGAATGAGTAAGAGTGCGATCACTGCGATCTTGAAGAGCTATGCTCCCCTTCCTTGAGTCATCACACAGTCTATAACCCATCATATGCCTGTTGTAGAGGGGACAGGGTATTTCCCATCCTCCTCTGACAACAGTTCTTTCTCCGAGGTACACACCCTTTCACGATTGGAGTTTGGCCCTCCGTGCCACCCTTCACAGTCGAGGAGCTTGCCTCCGGCTGAGAAACCCGTGAGGTGGAGGCTGGAGTATCTGTCTCAATTTTCTCCACCTCTTTAACTTGGTCTCTCCTGATACCTGATACCGGTGTTGTCCCGTATCGATAATAGAGGATATGTCCCTCTTTTTCTATTGCCTCCTTGGATTCGAGGTCAATTCCTATTGTGAGGATCTGACCATGACCCTCCTCCCTCGAGTTGATGACTCGCCAACTCGATGTCCTTACATTGAAGTTCTGACCCTGGATAAGGCTCAGCAGGTAGGTGGTGTCTTTCCCCTTGCTCTTCGGCAGATAGACCGTGATGACCGCCCCTTTAGGTATAGTATATTGTAAATAACATTTTACTGTATTATACGGGGTGTCCCATTATTCGGACATAGAACTATGACGTATTTACTTTTTAAAGTTCATTAGAGACAGTTTACCTATATCAAAAAACTACTCTAGCGGTGAAAACTACCCCCACCCCTACATAAATTTTTTGTGTTTTTTTTTTGAAAATTGATTCTTCTAGAATTTACTAAATTTTTTGTCTCTTTTAAAAACAGCCACTTCGCATAGTTTTTGAGAGAAAAAATTGGTGGTTTATAGTAACTACGTATTCTTTTAATCAAAATAAATTAAGTGGCTACAATGTACTCTCATTTGTGACACTAAGATAAAACTCTAAAACTTAATTAAAAAACGAATTAAATAAATAACTTACAATTAGTCGCTTTATATTTTTGAAACAGTTTTATTGCAAGGGCCTCACAGACTTCGTTTCATTTTTTTCATTCATTTTTTTCGATTGTTTCATTTTGTAGGAAAGAAGCTATTAGAAGTAATAATAAATATAAACATTTCTCTTCAAAAATGATGTTGACTCTTTTTGGTATTAAAAAGAAGAAAAAGTAACATAAAAAACTATATTTGTCGTCAGCTGAATGTAATTTAAATAATATTTTCTGTGTTTTATAGAAATCTGTAAAAGTCGTATCGGTTGTTTTGCGTAAAGCGGAATAAAAATCTGGAAACATCACATAGCTTCTTACTTAACTAGCCAGAAAGAAAATAGATCAGGAAAGATTAAATAAAGGTAATCCGTTCTTATAGTTCTGCCTCATGATATCTAACATAATCGGGCTCGACAAGTCTTGAACTAAAACAGAAATGCACTCTCGGTAGATTTCTAGATTTTTGGTTGAAGTATTTTTGCGAGCGACTCGACGATCTACGCTGTCGTACGAGAGGCTACGTTTTTTCCAAGTTTAAGTGGACGAAAAGTATCTTTTAATTTGTCGAGCTCGGATAATAAATAATAATTGAGTAGGGCAAGGCTTACCTTTATCTTTTATTTGATTTACCTTTGGTTTACTATATGTAGAAATTCCAGCTAATCTAGAGGAAGTTCATTATTTAGGGATGATTTTTCGTCTATTTGGTGTAAAAAATAAAAACAAAAATGCTAAAAATACAAAGAACTGTTTTGAACATATTCAAGAGCAACAAAATATAGCTACATTTGTGTTTTTCTTTAGGTTTACTGTATCCTTTTTAAGATTAGAAGAACAATATCCGCCTTTTTATTATATGTTTTATGTATTATTTATTATATCATAACTTTATATTTGTACTAAACCTTTTTTTGCAGAGATTTCAGACAGAGGAATATATTGTCATTTTATCAAAGTATAACAAAATATTTTAAGTAATATTTTTTATACTTTAATAAAAAGTAATGACCGTTGCCTCATGTGAATCAAAATAAATATATCTTGGAAGATCAGAAAGCTTCATGTATAACTAGCCAGGAAGGACATAATAATCATTAGACATAATCCTTTCTCATACTTCTTCTGCAAATATCAAATATATTTGTATATTTATATTAACTTTCTTTCAAAAAATATTTTTTGACTCTTTGTAGTAGTAAAAAAAAGGATATGTAACATAGGAAACTATATTTCTCGTAAGCTGAAAGTAATTTAAATAAAATTTTCTGTTTCGTTTTTTATAGAAATATAGTAACGTCGGTTGTCTTGTCTAAAGCGAAATAAAAATAATATCTGGAAACATCACAAATCTTCTTGTTTAACTAGCCAGAAAGGAA